CAACACTAATTCTATTACAGCAATTAGAACATGGACATTTGATATCCTGACATTTTTTTGCTGCATCTTGATTTCTGGGTAAATTCATGAACTCGCATATACCTGCAGCGTATGCGGACGTTAATAAGTTCGAGCCCTCATCCATCATTGGCTCGTCCATCCAAGACCGAAAATATGAACCCATCGCGAACAATTTTTTTAGTTTTTTACAATTGTGTTATGAATTGTGTTATGAACCAAGATCAGAAGTGTCGAAGCTTATATAGAACGGATTTCCGTCGGAAATCCGTCTCAAAACTCCGACACCAATCAAATCCCATCGGCCACCGCTAACGAAATGGTAACCACTCAAATTTGCCGACATCGAATTTCCGACGGAATAAGTTTRGTCGGTATGCGCTGCCCAATCAAACTTTGCCGACATCGGAAATATCGGATTTCCGTCGGAAATCCGTCGGAAAGTCGTCAGAATATTACGACAGTTTATATCCGTCGGTTAATTCCGACGGAATACCGACGGTAGATAAAACTGTCGGTATTCCGTCGGAATTAACCGACGGATTTCCGACGGTTTACATTTGGTCGCAATTTCGTCGGTAAACCGTCGGAAAATTCCGACGGAATTCTCGCCCGTCGGAATTTCCGTCGGAAATCCGGCTGTTTTCTTGTTGTGTAAGAACAAAACAAAATTTTAATTAGATATAATTTTACTTTTGTAGCGTTAAGTACCATAATTTTTCTCTTAGAAATGACACCCCTTGAAAATATAAAGTTATTTTTATTTGTAGTACAACTATTAAATATAAAAATATAATTAAAGGATGAATATACGATTGCATTACGTATCTCTGTTATTACAAAATTGTGGCGGATTGTCTTTATGGTAAAATAGAAAAAAAAAACTCAAGAAAAGTAATGAAAATATATCAAAATGTAAAAGTGAGCGGATTACGAAAGAGAATAAATGTAAAAACATACTCATAATTAAATTAAATCCAACAAATAAAACGTTGTTAAAAGAAAAAAATGCTTAAAGAAGAGAGGCTCCACAAATAACAACAACCATGTAAAGACTACTATCTATAAACATTCCACGAAGAGCTTGATACACAACAACTCCTCTTTCTAGAAGCTTCTCTGCATCAGACCAATTTGCACCATTATTACCATCTTTAACCTTTCCTTCATCTTCTTCCATTTCATGACTCAATCCTCCTTCAGAAGTTTCCATGGTGAGATGAGACATAACTATAGCACAATCCGTAAGTATAAGCAACCAAAGAGGTCTCAAAGCTAAGATATTGTCTGATCTTATAATGTTCAATCTTGGGAGTAAAACAACAAATGTAGCTATTGTGAGAGAGCTTAAACTTCGAGTTCTCTCTGAGCTTATGATGCTTGCATTGAGTTTCTTGGAACTGAAGTAACTTTTAGGTCGTTGACTTTGACTCTTTACTGATCTTGCTTCTTCTTGTTTTGTTGGTTCGCTACTTTTTATGGGTCTGTGAACAAGACTTGAGAGTTTTGGTTCTTCTCTTGCCTTTACTTCCTCTGTATTCATGAGTATTAGAGACAATATATCCATTAACCGATTTAGGTTTTGATTGTTTCGTAAGCAAACTGTGCATTAGATTAGTAGTGTTCTAATGTGTATATTTGAGAAATGTAAAATAAAAAAGAAACATATTTCTCTATTTTTTTCTTCTCATAAATATGTTTTCCCCACTACAAATTGTGAAGACAAATGCAAAACACAAAATTGATTTTGTTTAATGAATGAGTTTATACAATTTACAAAGTAAATACAATTAATACACTAAAAATTATATTTTATATATAAAAATATTATATGAATGTGATTGGTAGCATGTGTTACCGTTGATTTAACTTGAGTTATTGTCGCAAATTCATTTTTAACTAAAAAATGTTACCAATCACACGATTTAATCTAGTTTTTTTTTTTAGAATTTGAGTTTAAGTTTGTTGTATTATGATCGATTTACATTCATGTTTTTAATCCCTTCTTTTAATGTTTTTAGCATGTAAACGTAACACACAAACAACATATCATGCAAGAATGTTTCAAAAAAAAAAACATATCATGCAAGAATATAATATGAGAAATCAAATATAAAGTTTTAGTATTTTGTGTACCTCTGAATTTATACTTAAGAGATGGACTTTCTTGAATCATATAATGATCAGACCGAGTCTGTTGCATGTATGATTCGCTATATGTGCGATTGTG